CTTCACCACCGACCAGGCGCCAATCCTGGACATGGCCTGTCCGATGCGGAAGAACTCGTTATCTTTGCGCCTGAACGAGTTGATGCTGATGCCGAAGGCCACCGTAGCAATCACATCGTTGGCGAAACGCGTAAAGTAATCCTTCATTTCCAGCTCGATGCTCGCGTCCTGGGACAGCTCCAACTGCTCCCGCATGTGGATGACACCCTCCTCGCTGCACGATTGTATCAGGTCGTACATTATCCGCATTTTGCTCCCGGTAAATGCGGGTGTCAGGATACTGCGCATCTCCTTCCATCGCCCATCCCGCAGCGAAATCAGACTTTTCGAGAGTATCGACTCCTGCATATTGTGGTGCATGCTATTGTGGTTCACGAAGTGGTCGAACTCCTTGATGCCAATGAGCTTGATGAGCTCGGGATCGCGGACGAAGAACACGGCATCTCGAAGGGCATAGATACCATATACCGGGCAGCCCGAGTGCTTCGCATGCATTTCGATCATTTTCTTTAGGACGGGCAAGCCACCGATCATGCCCTTCATAGGAATATTTCCAATTAGGGGCCATGGCTTTTCATGTGCCACGCCCCTGGCACTGAGCACACCATATGTGGCCACCGACCACTTGTAGAGCAAAACGAGCACTGTTATAAGCAGAGCGAGTGCTACCATCCACTGATCCATGATGTCATAGGTGAACGCCTAATTGAACCGCAGATCTCGAGAGCTGAAACACAACTGATTTCACGTAGAATGTGCTGCCCTCTCAACAAAGCTTGAAAAAGCTTTCAAAAAAGCTGCTTTTCGTTATCGAGCGATCACTTATAGGGTTTTTACTATCTCAAATCGATAGGCACTATCTAGGTGTAAACATAATTGAGTTGATATGCTAATTAGCCTTTCGTTATTGAGTGACAAAGTGCAGTCGCGTTATCAGCAGAACGCATTAGCAGAATTGCCAATCGGAGTTGCCTTTGAAATTTGCTGAATAAAAAATAAATTGAAGTGCTATAATCCGGATAAATGGCGTCCGATAAATGCTCCACCCCTCATTCACTCATAATTTGAAAAGAAATCAATATGTGGCCCATGGAATGCAGCAAATAAATGCTACAATGGCGAAAATTTTGCAAAATCATTGGCAATTTAGGCAGAAAATGCAACCAAATGAGACCAGCTGGGAGTCCATGCAAGCCGTGTCCTTCAAAAATTGCGATTTCTGTAGGAAAATGTTAATACCCTAAATACCCGTAATACCATTAAATGCGAGTAAATAAATCACAATGCTTTGATCTGGTTTTAATAATAAAATAAGAGAGTAGCGTTGGAAATGTAAACATAATATTTATTGCATTTTATTATGTTAGATATGCTATTTCAGCACGCAACAGACTCCTAAAAAGTGTAATACCCGCTGAGTTGTTCCCACAAGAATCCTATAAAAGGTTGAAGCACTACCAGGATGGCTCAGAATACCCACTCAAGTTAAGAGCCATGTTCGAAGACATTCAGCTAATCTACATGAACATCAAGATACTGCGATTCTGGGCCCTGCTATATGACAAAAACCTGAGGCGTTATGTGTGCATCGGCCTGGCCTCATTCCACATCTTCACCCAAATCGTGTACATGTTGAGTACCAATGAAGGACTAACCGGGATAATTCGCAACTCGTATATGCTCGTTCTTTGGATCAATACGGTGCTGCGGGCTTATCTCTTGCTGGCCGATCACGACAGATATTTGGCCCTAATCCAGAAACTAACCGAGGCGTATTACGATCTGCTGGATCTGAACGATTCGTATATATCGGAAATATTGGGCCAGGTGAACAAGGTGGGAAAATTGATGGCTAGGGGCAATCTGTTCTTCGGCATGCTCACGTCCATGGGGTTTGGTCTGTACCCATTGGCCTCAAGCGAAAGAGGTGAGTTGGTTGCTGCTTAAAAGGATACAACATTATCTAAATTCCCAATCATACTACCCCTTTATTCTGTCAGTGCTGCCATTTGGCAGTAGGATACCTGGTCTGAATGAGTACGAGAGTCCGTACTACGAGATGTGGTACGTCTTTCAGATGCTCATCACCCCGATGGGCTGTTGCATGTACATCCCGTACACCAGTCTGGTGGTGGGCTTGATTATGTTCGGCATTGTGAGGTGCAAGGCTCTGCAGCATCGCCTCCGACAGGTGGCGCTGAAGTATCCGTGCGGTGACCGCGACCCCCAGGATCTGAAGGAGGAGATCATAGCCTGCATCCGATACCAGCAGAGCATTATCGAGTACATGGATCACATCAACGAGCTGACCACCATGATGTTCCTCTTCGAACTGATGGCCTTTTCGGCGCTGCTCTGTGCGCTGCTCTTTATGCTGATTATCGTGAGTAGATCTCCACAAAAGGGAACCTAATGTATCTGCCATTTGTGCCATAGGTCAGCGGCACCAGTCAGCTGATAATTGTTTGCATGTACATTAACATGATACTGGCCCAAATACTGGCCCTCTACTGGTATGCAAATGAGCTCAGGGAACAGAATCTGGCCGTGGCCACCGCAGCCTACGAAACGGAGTGGTTCACCTTCGATGTTCCACTGCGCAAAAACATCCTCTTCATGATGATGAGGGCCCAGCGGCCAGCTTCGGTAAGTCCTGCTTACATTAATCCTTGAAAAACACCCATTGTTTTGAGTTCGGTGAAAACTTTGTGCACAGACTTTTCTTAATTATCCGCTGGTAATTTAAAATTCCAGATACTCCTGGGCAACATACGCCCCATTACCTTGGAGCTTTTCCAAAATCTACTGAACACAACCTACACATTTTTTACGGTTCTCAAGCGAGTGTACGGATGAACGAGCAAGGATCAAACTGAAATATTTTATTAAATAGCTTACATACTGCACATGCACAGAATCTCACGATACGATTTACCATTAACTCTGGACACAATCGAGCACATTTTACAATTGAATAAATCATTGGTAAAAAGAAAAATAGTCATTCGTATTTAGTTGGAAATACGCCCATTTTATTTCTTGTATTTTTTCAGTGCGCACTATTTGCGGTTGCTGCGTATTTCACGCTGCGTTCGCCATTTTTTCACTTTCCCAACAATGAAAAACGAATTTAAAAAAATAACTGAAATCAAATGCAAAAAAGAAGCGAAGTGTGGCCTGTGCGCGATAAAAAAAATTTGTTTGCTAAAGTTGTCAACGAACTTTTTGCGTCCGCTGACTTTGACTGGCAGTCGCCGAGGTGCGAAAACAGGGATACTGCAGGATGCAGGATGCAGGATGCAGAATGCAGGATGCCAAAGCGGAGCGGGGAAAACACATTTCAATTTGAATGACACGTCGCTGGTGAGCGACGTCGGGGGAATCCGGTTCATTATAATAATGGTGATGGAATTAAGGTGCGATTCTACTGGCTGAACTTTCAATCTCGGCTGTAAAACGAATAAAACAAACAAAAAGGAAGTTCTAATTCGACAATAAGAACTTGTGGAGCAAACAAAAGTTTCCTCTCAATGCTAGATCGCTTATTGAACAATACACACAACTTCTTGCCATCTTTACTCAATGTTCTTTTCTAACTAACTCATTATATCATGAATCTGACTGCACACTAAATATAACTGAGGCATCAATAAAGTCCTTTCATTTTTATTAATGTTAGTAATTGGCCTTGGAATCGCAGAGCTCGCCACTTCAGAAGAGGCCTCCCAGGTTGGAGGAGTCGTAGATCTCGTTGACGGAGCACAGGTTGATGAAGGCCTGATTCCGCCCGCTGCGGCACTCGGTGGCCGGGCGATCGCCGCTCTGGTAGACCGGGGCATTCACATCGTTTGTCCGGACAAAGTTGCAGGTCATGTACTGGTGGACACTGGGCAGCGACTGGCCGGCCTCGTTGGTGGTGTTCTTCGTCTGCCGGAGAATGCCGCAGCCCACGTGGGTGGTGCTATCCCGGACGAGCTGTGTGAAGTAGGCAATGCACTTGCTGACGCGCAAGCGGAGAATTCTGGTCAGGTGAGCAATACTTAATCCAGGGACCTCCCACCTACCTGTTGTTGGGCGGACTAAAAGCTATAATATCCCGCATGCTGCACTCCTTGTACTCGGCGAACATCTGCTCCAGCGTGGCCTTGATCACCTCATCTTCCGTGTGGTATTCCACCGGGATTGGTGCGTCCGGATTGGAACTGCCGTTGGGTGGGCCTGGCGGCAAGGGATCTCCCTGCCAGCCGCCCTCGGCCACCACCTGGGCCACGTTGCGGAACTGCTCGCTATTGCGGCAATGGTCGTTGACCAGGGCACATCGTTTCACATTGAGCTCCGCAAAACTGGCCAGCTCCTGATCCCACTGCAACGTGGCCATCCGCGTGGCCGGACTGAAGCCCATTAGGTCGCCCCTCGCTATCCGATCGCGGTACTCGTTCAGCTCGTTGAGGATCATGTTGCGACGAGCCGTCGTGATCCGCACAATGTGGGCATCCGGACTGCAGATGTCGGCCAGCCCCTAAAGGAATCAGTCATCAGCGACGTGCTCCCGCTGGCCATTAGACTCATCTTACCCCGAAATTGTTGCAGGCTATGTGCCTCTCGGGTCCGGGACAGAGGGTCGGATCGCAGTAGTCGAAGGCCTGGAGCTGCTGGCCCAGGAGCATCATCAGCAGCAGCAGCAGCAACAGCGGCGGCCACTTGGTGTCCAACATCTCGACGAGACAGCCAGTTTAGCCAGCTCCGGCCACCCGAGGCTGCCTCTTATAGAGTTCGAAGGCGCCAAATCGATTATCGATCAAGCGGCGCTATCAATTGCGACCATTTACTGACCCCCAATCAGTTAGCCAATTAGTTGGGCCCCACTATTAGGCACACTTTGGTACACAGAAAAATAATGAAATGCTTTTTAGTATTTCGCATAGGCTCACTGCTTTAAACTTACTTCCCTAAATTCGTAAAAATCTAATATTTTGAAATTATTTCTCCCATTAGTCTCATCGATCTTATAGGTTTTTATTTTATGAATAGTATGCATGTGAATATGAAGTGCATAAGTATCTTTAAGTGCACACCTAAATGTCTTGTACCACTTTGTCGCCGGGCGGCATCTTCGATTGCACCAGCATGCTGTTGGCATCCACGATCTCTTCCTCGCTGCACAGGAACTGGTACATCTGACTCGGCCCAGTGACGCACTTCTCGCCAGGAATGTGGCCCTCCTCGTACGGCACCAGGTTGTTCACGCTGGCCCGCGAGAAGTGGCAGAGCAGGATGACATTTGACTTTTCATTAGTCCTACCCTTCACACGAAGTCCACATCCCATTCGAGAACCATGGTCCTGAATCAGCGGCAAATAGTGGCCCACACAGGTTCTGCAGTAAAAGCGAACAAAACTTATTATCTCTAGCACACAATTTTCTTGTTGTAGTACATCAATATCGTCTGAGTTGCTAAATATAGCTGTTAATATATAGAAATTAAGATTAAGCCCACTGACATGTATTTAAAAGTAATCAAACTAACTAATAGGTGGCGTTTTACGTCACTTACCCTTCTCTTATAGGCTCTATTTTCTGACCATTCCTCACGCATCCCATGATATCCAGGAACATCTCCGGCAGCATTTTACTCAGAACCTCATGTTTCAGGCTGTTGGTTCGCCTCATCATGCTACGGATTTCGGTGGTTGCCACATAATGATACTTCTCGGTATTGGCGCAAAACTTTCCCGTCTCATCGCATTGGCGAACTTGGCGATCGGCCAGCCGCTGCAGTTCGAAATCCCAGACCATCGTCGGCATGCGAGCGGCTACCGAATAGTTGCCCACTCCACTGGCCACATAGTTGCGCAACATGTTGATCCTGCTGAGTATGCCGGCCTTCAACACTCCATTAACGTTGAGGAAAAGGTTGTTTTTCCCGCATTGGTCGGCTATTGCCTGCAGAAACTATAGTTAAGCCGCTACAATCTCGAGTGCGGGGGGAGCTACTACCTTGGGTTGAAAGCAGCCCACATGGACTTCCGAATTCATGCAGAGATTGGGTCTACAATGGGGATCAACTTTTGTGGACAAGGTCCCAGTTAGCGTTATCAGTAATAGGTACGGATACCACATCTGCATCTCGACCAGTCAGCGTGGCAAAAGCAATTCAACTAAACTGTGGAGCTATCTTAAGGGCTACATTTATTAAATGCACCATGACCGAATCAATTAAGCTCGCCCAATTGCAGGGCATTTGGATTAACATGCTCCTCGGGTGCGCAGAGCGCCTCATAAATGGAGTGGGTTCCCGCATAGCAGCGATTTCCCGGATGAGCACTTGCCCGGTAAACCAGCTCATTGGCGATCTTTCCGCGTGAAAATTGACAAAGGACTCCGTACTGATAGAGTCCGCTTGTGTGGCTCCTTCGCAGCATCATGGCACAGCCGACATGGGCGGTCAAATCTTGGACCAGCTGGGTGAAGTAGCCGCGGCACTGCCTGCAATCATGGTTCAGATATACATTTTCCACTTGGGACTTGGGACTGACTGCCTCTCACCCATCTTTGGCCGGTTTCTCGCCATTGATGTTGGCCATTGTGCAGCCCTTGACATCATCCATCCAAAACTGCAACACAAAGTCCAAAACGGATACGGGGTCCTTCTCCCGTTGCAACCACTTGGTACTGCCATATATATACGACACATATCTGAACTCTTCCGTATTGCTGCAGTAGTCGTCGATATAGTCACAACGTCTCAGGGCAAACTTGGCCAATCCGGCCAGCTCCTCGTGCCAGCGGAGTGTTGCCATCCGAGCAGCCGGACGCAAGGACGGATACTGGCCCTTGGCCACAGTATTTCGAAAATCGTTTAGGACGGCCAGCAGGTGGGCACGCAGATGCATGGGGAACTTCATGATGACCGCTCCACTGCCACAGCTCTCATCAAAGTCCTGCGAATCTCAGATAGTTACTATGCAACTTAATGAGAACTCCAACTTACCCCATAATTGCGGCAAGCGATATGCGTTATCTCTGGCAGACACAGATCCTTGTTGCAATAATCCGTAGATAACGCCTCCTCACTGATAAGGACTAATGTAAGGAGTGATAGAAGGAACAACATCTGGTGCCGATTTTTGGAGTCAAAATACAAAAATATTTTCCAAAACACTTGTCTATCTATACAGCGGAAAATCCATTTGAACTGCCTGAATGCAGCATGACAATGCTTTAGCATATAAACCTATTACTACTTATATTTCCAGCAGTAGCCATTTTCAACCAGGAATCCAAATAGCTCGACTGTCATTGCACGATATAAGGAAAAACATATGTAAGATTAAGCATATTAAAAAGTAATAAATTGGAATTTCGCATGACTAGTCAAAGTCGGTTTTAAAACTGAGTGGCTCACAATCGATTTGACCAGAGGCGAAATAAGGTAATAGCAAAAAACATAATTCAGCATACTTAATCGATAAATGAAAAAACTGTGGGTGGCAGCAATAGCAATGTAAGTCCACCAGTAATCTTTAGAAATCCACTATACCACTGTTCCTTCATTGCCAAAAACATCGGAGAGCAGAAATAATTGAAAGCATGTTTGCATTTCTTGTTTTGTGATTTCGTGAAAGTGCACATCGAAACAAATATGCTGCAGTTGTATTTGATGTGCACTTCACTGGTTTATTACAATTAACACTTCATGTAGTTCAGTTTTGTTTTCCTTTTGGATTTGCTTAAAGTAGATGTATAAATAATACGTTGCTCTTAAGTTATATGTACAATTTACAAACATCACAAGGAATACATAAATGGCTCGTTGTGCGATCGCATTCACTTTGGTTTTTTCCCACGAGTTTGGAATTATATAATGAAAGGATAAATGGATAGTAAAATGTTTAGCTGAGTAAAAAAGTTATATTGAGAAAGAAAGGGGATCCGGGATCCAGTACACATTGGGATTTCACTGGCCAAAGTGGGGATTGTACGGAGCCTGCTTCTCATATCCGGCGGGCATAACACTGGGTCCTGGATTAGCCATGGCCATGTCATACGGCGGAGGATTCCTGCTGGCAGCCCCGGCGTCAGGGTACAGAGGATACCCCACAGTGTGCACACTGCAATAGATATGAGCATATCAATTAATATTTGCGCTTGGCTTGAGCTCTAGATTCCACTTACCCGGGCATCGGCATTGGCATTTGCTGCTGGTTCTGGTGGGGCATCGGCATGGGCATCTGTACAGTCACGTTGCTGCGGGGAAACGAGGAGATTGGCATAGTTTCCGGGTGCACTGTAGGTCCGTACTTACCCGCTGCTCTGTGTTGGGTACGAGGGTGAAGTTACGTAGGCATTGCCCGCCGGATAGCCTGGCGGAGGCAGCTGTGTGACCGGATATCCGCCGGGAGCTGTGTGCGTGGCGGAAGTCACCACCACGGGCGCTGCAAGGAGCAAGAACGGAAAAAATAAATTAGAAACGGAAAATAGTTGGGCCAATAATTCTGAATCATCGTCGATAGCGAATCGCAGATTCGATAAGCTCCTACTTTTGATTAAACTCATCAGTGTGAACGAAAATTCCCCTTTCAGCACTCGGAAAAAAATACACCATAATATTAATCTATATAAATGTAAGTCGTCATCAAATTTAAGACCACTTTTAATGAACATTTTGCTTATTTAATCTCAATTTTTTTTTTTTTTGTGTTATTTTGGGCAGTTCATTCATTTTAATCTTACTCCGCTATGGAAACAGTTCATAATAAACATTTATGCAACATACACTTTGAATACTTTTTGTACTATAATTAATATAAAAAAACATATATAAAACGTATAATACTTTCAGTATCACAAGCAGATAAAAACACAGCAGTTGAAAGTTAGACAAATAATATGTGGAACAAAAAGATTCTTGGCACTGCCAATTTTTTTAGGTGTATTCGTCAATATTTTCTTTGTTCAGTGAATGTAATTACCAGCGCCTTCACTGATTGTGTAGCCAACATTTCGCGCTGCTTTTTGTTTCCGTCGAATGCAAACCAGGATGGACGTAACGAAAAATATACTAAAAGCTATAGATAATCCGACCCAGAACTCCCACATCCTCGATTAGTCAAGGGATTTTACTCGAAAAAACACAATCGCTTTCCGGGCGAACACAGAGCAGACTGCAAAGGCTATTTCAAACAGAACCACACACTCGGCTCATTTCTAATCAATGTCCGATTATATGGCCAATACGATAAGCGGGTGGTGTACTCTAATTCTGTTTTGTTTATCACTGGTTTTGGCAGTACGAAACAGCTTCAAAATTACATAAACCATTAATGACTCTTTCCGATCGCAGCTATTTACCCATGGATCTGAACTTCTTGACAATGCAAAAGAAGCTCAGGCACATCAGCGAGGAAATCACTATGAAGACTGAGACTGCTATGATGGGAATAACAAACGGCTCCATCGGGAAGATTACTTTATGCAAACTAAACTGGTGCTACAACATGGAGTTCTCGGTTTCAACTGACTCATGACATTGTGTTTTTTGTGTAACTGGAAGATATTGGAAGCTCATTGGCTCATTAGCTCATTGGCGATAACGTCAAAGGGAGATCCCCGAAAAAAACACACCTGCACCCTTGGTGAGTGCCGCTCTTCGGGTTCGACCACGGGTCATGAATATCGCCGCGGATGTCATGAAAAATACGGAGAAGGTGAAGAAAAGTATCCAGTAGATGCCCGAATCATCCATGATTTTGATACTGACTGAATAAGCGGCGCACAAAGACTAAACAAAAGCGCGAAACTAAAGCCGCCGTATTGGCAATCGAAAAAGTGCCAGTAATGGCCAAAGAAAGGGCAATCGCACTCATAAAGATAGCACTTATCAGTGATAACAACACTTTCAACCATTATCATAACTTACTTAAATCACCGAGAGCCTGACGACGCTTCCAATGTAGTGCAACCAGGCCGAGCAACGTCAAGATGAATATTTTAAAGGTTATTCGCAAAACGGATATGAACACAACAGAGCGTCCCTGGGATTCCATCAAGTAACTGTACTGCGTTTCGTTGTTCATGTTGAATATATGTTTACTAATTGTTCAAATATGGAAAGTCCTCCAGGTCTCGAGCAAGAGTAAAGGCATATATCACAACAAGCGCCACCAAAACCGTGAGGATGCCCCCTTCGAATGCCAGAAATGTCCAGTTTATGTGGAGTCGCTGGGAAATGTCCTCAAACACATCCAATATGGTGGCATTCATCGTGAGGAGCTGCGACCCAACTAAATGGATATCATAACCATTTTCTGAATTACCCAGCATTTCGGGATCTATGTACGTCAACACTCAATTCCTTTGTGGTACCATTAGCCACTAATACCCAATTATTGGCTTGCGTTTAGGTGTAAACCTACCATTTAGTAGCACACTTGGAAATTGGATCCAAAATAGAAGAGAATCATGGTCGGTGTTATCAGTATATATTGCACAAATATAATAATAACACATAGTCATTACCCACTTCAAGCCAAGTCCTAAATCTCTGAATACCAAGATAGCCCGACTATTTCACCACACGACTTTTTGAAGTTTAAGATATTGGATAAGAAATGCCTTAAAATCGTTTTTAGAGGGAAACTAAATACAATTTCTTTAAATACTTCATATAACATTTAAGATTAAATCGGACTGCCTACAAAAAAATCTTCACATCCAGTTGACGACTTAAAGCAATTCGCGCCCAATCTAATATTTTTTTCAGACAATGACTTGAATATTTCAACCATAAATATAATTGGCAGGAAGCACAAGCACTTTACTGTGGGTAATACCCATTGTTAAATATTTATAATTGTACATGATCCTGCTTGGAAAAGAATCGCAGAAACTTTAAAATCACATCATCGTTTACTTAATTAAATTAAACAAACACGTTCCCCAGTATTTTAGATTTACCTCTATTTGCATGTGGGAAAGAGTTAAAATGAGTAATTATCTTACTATATAGACTAACTTTCGCGATTTATTAAGTGGGTGTCTCTTTTTTAAGCAAAATTTTCTGTCATTGAATTGTAACATTTAAAAAATAAGTACCAGTGATAAGAACGATATCTTAATAATGGATTACTAAACATCACAGTTTTCAATTTCTTTTCCACTTTTTAACCGAAGGCTATCTGAAGCTGCAACTATTTGTGTGGGTTAATAGATGCAGAAATAAGAGAAGTTGGCTTATCGTACAGATAAGTTAAAAATGTCTCATACCTTCCTGCTCCTTCTTGCATAAGGAGCATCTCCAGCGTACACAACAATATAAAAATATTACTTTGATTATTATTATTACCACCATCACTCCCGGTTCAGGCCTTTCGGAATTATTCATATTTATCTCTTTCTAGAACACACGCTTGAATGCAACGAACTCAAAAAATGAACTGAACGAACTGATTTAAAACTTATGCTTAAGCTTGAATCTCATTAGACTGACTCTTTGAGAACAAATCCAAGCTTTTTATCGTAAATGAAATGGAATTCCCTTACTTTGACTCAAATAACAATGTGCACATTTTTGCAGTCTACTTTTAAGCATAACCAAAATATAACAATACAAGTACCCCGACTATCAGATACCCGTTAATCAGCTAGTGCAAGTGCGAACGAGAAGTTTCTTCATTTTCTGGAATATCGGTAAAACTTTCGAAAAAATTAAAAATTTTTTTCAAAAGTGTGGTCGTGACAGTTTTGGGCGGTAGAGTGGGCGTGGCAAATCGATACAAATATACAAGACTAATAACAAAATGAAAAATAGCAAAACGGACAGACGGACATGACCAGATCGACTCGGCTAGTAATCCTGATGAAGAATATACATATATACTTTAAATGGCCGGAAACGCTTCCTTCTGCCTGTTACATACATTTCAACGAATCTAGTATACCCTTTTACTCTACGAGTAACGGGTTTAAAAACACGTTTACCGGTATATTAGATTTACCTCTATTTACATTTTGCGATTGCCCAAGAGTAAGCAAAGTGACTCAACGTGGGTTTTACGCTATTACATTACACTATACTTGTTAAAATGAGTAATTATCTTACTATATAGACTAACTTTCCCGACTTATAAAGTCGGTGTCTCTTTTTTAAGAGGAAATTTACAATCAATGTTGTAAGGGATATAAGGGATTATTAAAGGATTACTAACCATCACAGTTTTCAATTTCTTTTCCACTTTTTAATCGAAGGCATATGCATATGCACCCAACACAAAAGGTCAACATGAAAACAGCAAACACTATGACCAGACTGAAGTCCTCTTCATATGAATTTGGCTTGAACACATTCACAAAAAGAAAATTCATGATGGCACTGCAAGCGCAACCTACAGACTAAGAAAGCTATCTGAAGCTGCAATTACTTGTGTGGGTTTGTAGGTGAAAAAAAAAGAGAAAAAAAGAGAAAAAAGAGAGAAAAAAGAGAAATGTCTCTTACCTTCCTGCTCCTTCTTGCATTCGCAACAACATTTCCAAAACCACGCGAATAAAATTAAAAAAACCATAAATGAAATTATGATAGCCTTGTAAATTCTTGCTAGATAATTTTTGGTAAGCGACTCATTTTCATTATGTGGCATTTTGTAATACACCAAATGTATCTCTATCAAAATACGTTTGACTGCAACGAACTCAAAAAATGAACTGAACGAAAAAAACTTGTGCCTAAGCTTAAAACTCCTTAGACTGACTCTTTGAGAGCAAATCCAAGCTTTTTATCGTAAATGAAAGGAATTCCCTTACTTTGACTCAAATAACAATGTGCACATTTTTGCAGCGTACTTTTAGGCATAACCAAAATATTACAAAATAGCAAAGCCAAAATAACCTGGTCTATAAAGATCATATATACTTGTCATTCCACTCGTTTGGCTCTACGTCTACCTTTGATATGGGACACAATAAAAGTTCTGAAATGATTTACAGTACTTTGTTCATTAAACGAAAGAAATTTGCGCTTGATTTCGAAATATATGATTTAATCCGAATAAGCCAGAATTACAGTCCAATTCTCAATAAAAGAACTGGTAAATCATTCCCATGACTTCTACTAGGAACTACAATATTACACTGAAGATTATTGAATTATTCGAAAGTATCATGGGCTCACCATTAAGTGGTGGTAAATGGTGTTGTCAATTAAAAGGACAAACAAATGAAATACTTTCTTGGATTTTATTCTGATGCACCATTGTAAAAATCTAACATTTTGACTTCCTGGCGTTTCTTTTCTCAAAGATAATAATATTAATTTTCCCAAATTAAATACATACCCTGCGCTTTGAGCATTGACTATAGCACTAAAAAATGCTGTATAATACACATAAAATCGCGAGCACTGCGATTAAAGTGGCCAATATAGGCAACATTTTCAATACATTCACAATTTCTTTGACTTCAAAACCACTTTTGATATATATATGTATATGATTTCCCTATCAGTGGTCTCAGTTTTTTTAGAGCTACGGTCGGAAAAAGGAAAACAATGATATTTCTTGAGCTCACGTAACAATGTTGAAAACGACTTCTTGCGGTTACATCCGCTTCATTTTCTTAAAATGTCTCTAATTTATTAAGCAGGTGGTTTATGCGATTTAGTAGTTTTACAGCAATGGTAATAAATAATAGAATATAATATGTAAAAAAAAAAGGAAATGGATTGTTCATCATTTTGGACAAAACAACACACAGGTAACTTCGACATCTGAGAACTCGGAAAGACACAGGACAGCAACAAAGGACTTCTGCATCGGACTATACTAACTTGCTTCGATCACGCCCTTGTCGGCCAGCTGCTGTTTCCTTTTGCGGATCACCGATCCTATTATCAGCGCCAGGAATCCGCAGAGGATCACGGCGAAAATGGAGCAAAGGATGATAGTGGACATCTCCAGATCCTTGTCGCCCGGTACATGCGGCATCTTACTTGAACTACTTCAACAACAAGAGTTTACTAACTAATAGATTCGATCGGCAGACAGTCTTTAGGATAGTTCGATGGGTGTTGAAACTACGCCACGGTAATGCGAAATTGCGATGCGTTCCCAGTGTTGTTCATTGCGCAGACGTTCAACGATAATTGCGAACTGGACTCGATTCCTCGCCAGCTTTTGTAAGAGTCCAGACGGTCTGCATATCCCCACAGATCCGAAGTCAGTTTAAAATGTTGGTTTGAAAGGCAAGATAAGATTAGCACCCATCGCTGTGTCGGTATTGACGCTCTGCCCGTTTAATCGGCTTAAGAAGGCCATATAGTCCTGCTATCGGCGCCAAAAGCTAGCATAGAATCGAGGGGAAACCGTAGAAATTTCAAGTGGACATAATATTTACAGCTTGAAACCTGCGTCAATAGTCAACATCAATCAAACGAAAAATTCGGTTTCGATTCTGAAATTTACTACTTCTGGGGCATCCTCAACACGATGCGATTACAATTGAACAATTCCCAATCTGATCTTTCCTGACGTCAGTGGTTATCAAATAATTGAATTACCCTTATCGAACGATTATTATCTGCGATGGTAAACAATACAGCCGTTGAGGAAATTCACAGGTCAACAGTTGGACCCAAGATTTTTATTCAGAAGCAAAGAAAGCTGAACTCTGCCTCAAGTACAAACACAATAATCATATCTTAGTATTTTATCATCCTGAGCTTGTCATAAGTACAGCTAATCTTAGGACGATTGAGATCTGTGAAACAGTCATACGTATTTTCAATTAAGATGTGAATGTAAATTGCCTTAGTTATTACTAAAAAAATTAAGTTTTTATACAGTTATAATATTTCCTAATATCGTGCTAGATATTGAGATTTTATCTATAGATATTTGGAAGGGTTCCACTCATTTTTTCTTAAATTCTTATTGTTGTGCAAATGTTATCAGATATACATTCTAAAAAATATTCAAGTACGAATTATGCAGTCTATAAAAAAACACCAAATTCTTTGCGTGCTGAAGAGAAGTGGTGTTTCTGGGAGCATGGTCTAAATTATTTACGGCCATCTAATCAGCACCGTATCACCTAATTGGAAAAACACTAAATATAATTTAATACGTTTTTGTCGAAGGTAAGAAGAGAAAAATAAGACTTGACGTCAAACGCTTGCAAATATAAGATAATAAGATTGTCGGAAATGTTTAAAAGGCCAGACGATTCGATTTGATGAACAGCATTGATGATTTGTAAATAAGGCTGATAACCAATATGCTTGATGCAAATGGCGACTTGGATTTGAAGCACTTATACATATGTAGGTATGATTAGATATTGTTAGCTCGGCTGTCTGGAGCGATTCCCAGATTCGAAGATAGGACCATCGAACATCCCAGAGATACTATTTAAAGTCTTTCCCTCACCGGCGGTGATCACGGTTGCGTTTCCCATGCGAAGTCGACGGGCTCGACGAACTCGCAAAAGCACCAGTATTAAAACAAGTATAAAGAACACCATGGTAATGGGAAACCATACATCAAAGTAGATGTACACCATTTTTAACAGATACTTTTCTTCAACGAGCCGTTCGGTCTTAAAGTTCGAGGTATACTGCAAGAGGTACTCAGCTATGACATGGATACAATTGTCAGTCGCGGTTATCTATAAAACTGTATCAATTTCTTATCGAAGCGCTACTGAAGATAAGTCATTTGAATTTTTGCTTAAATGTTGGGATATTGGAAATAACTTTATAGCTAGCTGCAGGCAAAGTAAACCGATTTAATGGTGGAAAATGGGTACAAATTGGGAAAATCCTGCCCAGAAAGGGACAGACCAACCAATTGTTTCAGATAAGATACGGTCATATAAATAAGCGTAATTAAATAATTACTTCGCCCTTGCTGATTAAGTTGCGTTTATGGGTAAGCATTGTTTATATTGTTTACGAACCGGTGGAGAGGCAAAAGTCAAAAAACTGCAAAAGCTATCTTTTCATTATGAAGATCTTTCGCTATATACATATATGTATATCGACAGAATTATTATTATCACCTCTAAACACGAATAGGTATAGATATTCGTATAATCTTACACATACAGGTTTACGCCTAAAATTCATCTTTTGAGCTGAACTCCGCATGCTTTGTGTTTTTTTGCGTGTGAATGACTCATCAGGGGGTTTATTTGATTAATGGTTTATAGGTTGCTACTTCTATATATACACAGTTACTCACTGGACAGAACGGCACCCTGGCGTCTGGTGGTGCAACAATATCCGCAGCAACTCATGATGAGGAAGGTGAGCAGGAAGAACATGAATATGCCCCAGAAATCCATGGCGAAATCGTCTATATCCTCCAATTCAAAGTCGTCCACTGCTGATAAGCCCAATATGTTGAATAAGCATGACTCATGATAAGACATCGTAGATACTTACGTTTGACAAGGATTTAGCAGTTATTCCTCTTTCACTAATATATTTTAATTCGACAATCCCACTTGTTGCAGTTATTGCACCAAAATGCACGGTCTATTTATCAGATTTATCCGCTTTTTGGCAGCACACGTGTCATTCACCTAAATATCACTGAACTACACTATCAGGTCGTTATTGAAGCCCGATTGGAATTAGCTATATCTTATCAACGTTAATCTGAAAATAATACAAATTATCATGATAATAATGTTTGAAACGTTTTGCAGCACTCACTGCGTTGGCTGTGTTTATTGAGCAATCGATACAAAGTGGGCGATAGCTAGCACACCAAACTCCGCAATCGATACTATCGGAATTGAAAAATTCTAAATTAATTCACGATATGTGGAATAAATGTTTTTAAAACTTTATTGCAAACTTACATTCAAAATATTTATTAAACTTATTTATGTCATTTTCAGTAGTTTTATTTTAAATAAAATATTTTGAAGCATGTTTGTATTTAGTAAAATATATGGTTACAAGCGATAGAACTAAAATAAGACAATTACAACAAACGTTCACCATTTTAATTTAAATACATTTAAATTCTACAAGACACCTAATAATATAAAATGGTTCGATTAAATGGCTTTAGTGGAGATTAAATATTAAAATATATAAAACACAAAACTAAAAAACTTATAAAAATTCAGTAAACTTATTACTTCTTCAAAAATAAGCTATAAATCATCTAAATACACTATATCAATTATTGAAAATCATCTAAATACACTATATAAATTATTGAAAACTGATTTAAATTCAGTTTCGCGCTGTGGTTGCCACCTCGTGAGCTATCGATAGTCAACACTCACGTTTAGTACTGCCTAGCAGTACTACTCACATATACATACCTCTTTTGCCATTTTTATCATGGCGATTTCTTTTTGACATTTGACTACGACTGGGCGCACGTGTTTTCTGGCAAGGCTCTGTGCTAAATTATAGTAAAATCAAAGTGAGTATTGGAATGTGCGGCATTTGATTGGCGTGTTACTGATGCGACCATTGTGTGTACTCCATTGAACAGATGAACCCGGAGAAGCTGAAGAAGTTGCAGGCGCAGGTGCGCATTGGCGGCAAGGGCACCCCCCGCCGCAAGAAGAAGATCGTCCACTCCACGCCCGCCACCGACGACAAGAAGCTGCAGTCGTCGCTTAAGAAGCTGTCGGTGAACACAATTCCCGGCATCGAGGAGGTGAACATCATCAAGAACGATGGCACCGTCATCCACTTCAACAATCCGAAGGCTCAGGCCTCGCTGCCGACGAACACGTTCGCCATCACGGGTCATGGCGAGAACAAGACGATCACCGAGATGGTGCCCGGCATCCTGACGCAACTGGGTCCTCAGGACATCAACCAACTGAGGAAGCTGGCCACGGATATTGCCAACAAGACCGGCGCCGGCGGCGCAGCCGGCTCTTCGGCCGCCGATGCCGGTGACGATGATGTGCCCGATCTGGTCGAGAACTTTGAGGAGGTGGCCATCGCCGGCACAAAGGAGGAGAAGTCCGGTGAGGTGGCGGCCTCCGCTTAGGCAGGTCCAACCCCGCCCACCCGGGCAAATCACACCATACACACCGAACACAAAAACATACATACAAAACATACGGGGCCAGGGAGCAAGACGAAGGGGCAGGCATACAGGACAGGACCCACACCCCAGATGCCGGAATTACACCTACCACTTACCCATTCCGGTTCCAAATCGGAAACGGATCCACTCCGGACTGCGGACAGCGCTTCTGCCCTGGATGGGCCATCCTTCATGCTCCCTTCAGCCACTTTTTTGGGGGTCATGCTACACACTATACTAAAATACAAAAATAAAGGCATCCGAGTGAGCGCTGAACAGAACACATAAGCATAATAACTATACTTAACATACTAAGGGAACCCTTCAATCTTAATCTAATAGTAATAGTTTGGAACCGACAAATGTATTTTCCAAAGCGATTAAAGCACGTTTCCTTAACCAAAAAACCGCAGTCCAAACAACACACACAGTCTAATTTTTGCCGCCCTCCCCCAAGAACAAAACACAGATGTATCTATAGATATATGCGCTCTCTTAATACACTATATAGTATATATGTATATGATACGGTTTTCGGAAGAATTGAGACGAGGTGATTAGGGGAACAACGCAGACACTCCAGAAGAATTCATTGCCAGGTCGCGAGGACAGAGAAATATATTTTTAGCACTAGCTCTTACCGATTTTTCCCAAATTCCGACTTTTCGATGTAACCCCGCCCTCGTGAAATCCTCAAGTGAGAACGTAAACAAGCTGAGACCACAATTTCGATTCGAGAACAATGTACCCAAATTGTTGAAAACACTTTATTATTTAAAAACTCTTGTTTTAGACCATTCATTACATGCATTACATTAAATGAGCTGTAAAAACCAACGACCAACCATTCATATTTCCAGCATTTCTTATAGTTTAATGCCTATTTTTTCTTTGCTTGCATAATCGACATGTGTGTGAGTGGGCCTGTGTGTGTATGCATAGCAACGCTCTTGTGTGAGGTTTTTGAGGTGGTTGGAAAGGGGAGGTGCGGCGCAAAACACGCGGCTGTCGAAAACTTGTTGACATTGGGAATAGTAAGTCTAAAATCCAGATGGTCAGAAGCCTCCTTCGAAAGGAACTCTGACCTGTTCGCAACATACGAATTATCTGTCCGAATCCAAAGGTGGGAAAGTCATAGAATGCGGTACATGACAAAAAAATTTATATATATGTATATATTTGGTATATGGTCCGAACATCTTGAAAATGAGTCACGTTCAACTTAAAATTGGCTTAAAATTGAGATTAGGCCAGTTCAACCGGAAAGTTTCTTGAAGTTTCTACGTACACTACATGTATATGCATAAACAAGCGATTGCGGTTTGTTATCACATTTTGACGACCTATAACGTATTAAGATTAATGCAAATGCTAGTAGCTTTATCAGTTGCGAGGTCGTTTGAAGTAAAAAACTCATATTTGAATGTTGAAAATATGTCAATTTAATTGATGTTTATTAGGTGTCCAATTGGTTTTTGTTTTGATTTTTTGCCCATTTAAATTTGCCGGTTGCCCTGCCAACTTGTTTTATACACATACATGCATTCGTAATACTTCGTTTATAAATTATATGTAAAAAAGAATTTAAAAATATTTTTGATGTCAAAATAAAGCATTATGCGCTAACGTTTCGGAAATACTTCTTTAAAATATAGTTTTCAATAAATAAATGAATTATAAATAATATTAATGTTAAAAACTCTAGATTATCTAAAGATTTAAATAGCTCACACCAGTGTAAGTGCCACTTATGTATACATGTATGCATGTATGTTATAGAGTTGCCAGATGTAAGAGAAGAACTGCCGCCACAAAATCAAAACAAATTAATTTCAATTTTAAACTTTATGTTAACCTACTCTATACAACTTTAAACTGACTAAAGTGTGCGCATTTCCTTTTTACAAATGCTGCAAACGACCTTGCAAGAGACTCTACCAGAAACTGGAGTATCCACACGATGGAAAACCGGTGCTCCGCCTTCAGGAACAATCCTTTTCTGCGGACTCACACGGATATTGTTTGGCTTTCGTTCGCTTTCCACGCAGCAGCAGAGGAGGAAGCTCAGTGGCACTGCCTCACCCTCTTCCAAAGTCTGGGGGAGATTTCGGTTTCTGGTTTCTGGCAGCAGAAGACTAGCAAATCCGCCCAAGATCAGCAGAGCTCCCATCACAATTAGCGGAAGAACGAGCATTTGCTGACCCTGCAATGGGAAATGGGTGAATATTATGGCAAACACTAATCCCCTGAGCCGCACTCACCATATGATTGATCATGGGAATCACTATAGGTCCAACCATGGCTATTACCGAGCTAAAGCTCATGCCTAGTCCCCGCACCACCGTGGGATACAGTTCGGATGCCAGGAGCGGCAAGACTACGAAGGACGAGCTAATGCCCATCTTGCCCACGCAGTAGAGCAGCAGTGTGATGTCTGGATACAGGAATGTGGCCACGCAGGCCACTCCGCCTACCAGCATCGAGATAAACAGGATCCAGCGCCTTCCGAAATAACTCAATCCCGGCCAGAGGAGCAAATATGTTGGCAGTTCCACCGCCCCAGCCAGGAAGAAGTTCCAGATCTCATCGCCTCCGAGCGCAGGAGCATAGTAGCTTAGACCCACGTATACACTTGTGTTGGCAAACCAAATAAGGGTGATGATCAGGGTCTTTCGACGCATATTGGGTCCTCGGAACAAGTCCAAAATGCCATAGTGGGTGGTCATTGAAGATTTGGATTCCGCAGCCCTTGTGCTTACCAGTTTTCGCTGCAACCTTTCGACAAAATCCCTGTTTACGCGCACGCCATTCACTCTGGCCATTACTTTGAGGATTTTAATGGCCCTCCTGGTTTTTCCCACGGCCATTAACCATCGTGGTGATTCCGGTAGCACGAAAAAGCAGGAGAAAAGCATCAGCAAAGGCATGGACACTGCCAAACTGAGTTCCCGCCAATCACGGACGATGTAGATAACTCCGGCTAATACCACCAAGCCTAAGGAGTAGGCGATATTCGAGACGATCGTGCAGAAAACTCTCCTCTCCGGTCCCACCAGTTCTATGGCCAGAACATAGGGACTCGCTAGAATGGCTGGCACCGTCAGTCCTACCACAAAGCGCAGTCCCAACCAAGTGTAATAGTTCCAGGCAAAGGCACTGGCCGCGCAGGCAGTGATCTCAAGCAGCAGATAGGCGTAGAAGGAAGGCCGCCTGCCCCACAGATCCACTAGATATCCAAATACATAGTTACCAAGCAATCCGCCAACACCGAAGATCACAAGCGCCAAAGTCACAAGGAAGCTGCGGTCGCACACCAGATTCCACTAAAAGAAAAAAGAAGTAATTACTCTAATATGACGTCATAGGCGCTCTGGGATAATATAATATAAGTTTCCTCTACCTCTTGAACCACCGTACTAGAGTATATGGATTTGTCGTAGTGCCAGCCATGTTGACAGGGCACCACCTGCGCCGTATCCGGTTGCAGCTTGAGCAAATCCTCTGCCTGTTGCCTAATCAAATCCGGAGGCGGGCGATACTCAAGATAGCGCACTATATCGGTGTAATTTCTCGCGTACATGGAACACTCGGCATAGGCTCCATTGCGGTTACGCGGAATGCTCAGGTTCTTAACAAGCTGCACGTAGTCCTGCGTCCAGGGCTCCAACTCAGGAACCCGACAGAAG